GGGGTGGGGGGTGGGAATTCCAGGCGGAGGGAACAGCCAGTGCAAATGTCCTGGGGCAGGCACGTCTGAGGAACAGTGTGCCTGGAGGAGAAGAGAACGGAAGGATCAAGGGCACACCCGGAATACACAGAGGAGTGGTGTGACTGTTTGCCTCCACAGGAGAAACTGGAGTATTTCTTCCTCATCGTCTTCTCAATCGAAGCCGCCATGAAGATCATTGCCTATGGCTTCCTGTTCCACCAGGATGCCTACCTGCGCAGCGGCTGGAATGTGCTAGACTTCATCATCGTCTTCCTGGGGTGAGGCCCACATGTGGGGAGTGGGGTTTGAGGTCAGAGGGGCCCTCTGAGGACGCTGTGCCCACCGCCGCCACCAGCATCCCAGAGGCAGGCGGGGCCCCCAGCACCATGCACGCCCTGCCATGGAGCAGCCTCTGTTAGGGGCTGGCCCCTGCCTGTCGAGAGTGACACACTGCCCTGGCAGGTCCCGCCCCTCCCCCAGCGAGGCACCACGGGCTCCTTTCTTCTTTTCACCTCACACAAAATGGGAAATGATGGGTGTGGTTTCAATGGCCGGCAGTTTCTGGACATTTATAAATGTCTCCGCCTTTATTCCCTGGACCTACATGGGGTATATGGGGAACCTGTTATTTGGGCTCACAGAGGTGGATATTTAGAAACCTGTATTTGTCTGCCCGGGGGGACCATAACCAAATCCCACAGACTGGGGGGCTTAAACAACAGAAACTCATTTCCTCACAGCTCTGGAGGCTGGAAAGCCAAGGTCAAGGTGTTCCCAGGTTTGGTTTTTCCTGCAGCCTCTCTCCCGGGATTGTGGGTGGCCACCTCCTCCCTGCGACCACGTGGTCCTTCCTCTGTGGACACCCGGGTGCCTCTTCGTGTGTCCGAATTTCCTCCTCTTCTAACGACACCAGCCAGATTGGATTAGGGTCGACCCTAACAGCCTCACTTAACTTAACTCCTTAAAAAGAACTTGTCAGGGGCGCCTGGGTGGCTCAGTCGGTTAGGCACCCAACTTCACCTCAGGTCGTGATCTTGTGGCTTGTGGGTTCGAGCCCCACATCGGGCTCTGTGCTAACAGCTCAGAGCCTGGAGCCTGTTTGGGATTCTGTGTCTCCTCCTCTCTCTGCCCCTCCCCTGCTCATGCTCTGTCTCTCTCTGCCTCTCAATAATAAATAAACATTAAAAAAAAAATTTTTTTTAAGAGGCCTTGTCAGGGCACCTGAGTGGCTCAGCCAGTTAAGCATCTGACTTCGGCTCAGGTCATGATCTCATGGGTTCGTGGGTTCAAGCCCTGAGTCGGGCTTTGTGCTGACAGCCCAGAGCCTGGAGCCTACTTCAGATTCTGTGTCTCCCTTTTTCTCTGCCCCTTCCCTGCTTGTGCTCTGTCTCTCAAAAATAAATAAATGTTGGGGCGCCTGGGTGGCGCAGTCGGTTAAGCGTCCGACTTCAGCCAGGTCACGATCTCGTGGTCCGGGAGTTCGAGCCCCGCGTCAGGCTCTGGGCTGATGGCTCAGAGCCTGGAGCCTGTTTCCGATTCTGTGTCTCCCTCTCTCTCTGCCCCTCCCCCGTTCATGCTCTGTCTCTCTCTGTCCCAAAAATAAAAAAATAAAAAAATAAAAAAACGTTTGAAAAAAAAATAAATAAATGTTAAAAAATGTAAAAAATAAAGTAAAAACGCCCGGTCTCCAAATACAGCCACTGTCTGGGGTACTGAGGGTTGGGGCTTCAACATCTGAATTTGAGGGGTACACAATTCAGTCCATAATATAACTTTTAATAACCATCCCCTAATTACAACAGCAGCATTTATCAAGCACTTACTATGTGTTTTACATGTAACATCTCATTTAGCTTTTTCAACAATCTCATTTTTTCCACTTAAGGAGGCTAAGGCTCAGAGAGGTCAAGCAACTTGCCCGAGGTCGCATAGCTAGCCAGTGGCTGTGCCAGGATTCGCACCAAGGCGATCTTGGCTCCAGAACCTGGTATTTAACCATTAGGCTGCCCCTCGACTCAATAAACATGATGTTGATGATTTACTAATTATCCCATGCGGCTTGAGGCACACTGGGGAAGGCAGAATTCTGTGACTCGGCCTCTACTCTTGATGAACCAGCCTGGGGGGGAGGCCAAGACAAATGATGACAGAATAATAGAGTGTGGGAAAACAATAGCACACAGCGCACCATTGTTGGACTCAGCGACTTGTCCCAGGGGTTCCTTGTCAAAGGCAGGATTCATAAAGAAGGGTTTGAGATGGTCTTCAGAGGATAATGGGAATTCGAGTGAATTGAGAGGAGGGGCAAATGAGCAGGAAAGGAAATAAGAGGGCATTGTCAGAAAGTGCTGCACAGAGAGACACAGCTCTGGGCTTTCTCCTCTGGGTCCCCACCGAGTGCAGCGCCACTGGTGACCCTCAGCCCCCCCACGGGGTACACTCAGCTCCCAGGCCAAGGCCTGTGAGTGCCTGTGGCACGTGTCCCTCAACACCCCCGTTCGGTGCCCAGATTGGACATCTCAGATGGATCCAATCCTCTTTTTTTTTAAATTTTTTTTTTCAACGTTTATTTATTTTTGGGACAGAGAGAGACAGAGCATGAACGGGGGAGGGGCAGAGAGGGAGACACAGAATCGGAAACAGGCTCCAGGCTCTGAGCCATCAGGCCAGAGCCCGACGCGGGGCTCGAACTCCCGGACCGCAAGATCGTGACCTGGCTGAAGTCGGACACTCAACCGACTGCGCCACCCAGGCGCCCCGAATCCAATCCTCTTTGTGCAGAGTCTGAACTTGGCCTCAGAATCTTCTAATAAAATTTTCCAGACCGGCATGACCAAACCCGAGTTAGAGATTGATGAGAGTTGCTTCCTGTCCCCTAGGCCTGTCCACAGGCCTCTTGAGCACAGATGAGACACAGGGTCCCAGACCAGTCGCTTGTCTGACCACTGAGCCCTCCTCTCTCCCTCTTCTCCCCTCTAGGGTTTTCACCGTGATTCTGGAACAGGTTAACGTCATCCAAAGCAACACCGCCCCGATGAGCAGCAAAGGGGCTGGCCTGGACGTCAAGGCCCTGAGAGCCTTCCGTGTGCTCAGACCCCTCCGGCTTGTGTCGGGGGTGCCGAGTGGGTGCCGGTGCTCCTGCAGATGCCCTTCCTCCTCCCCCAACCCGTTCCCCGGCCCAGTTCTGGGTCCCCTTCCAACCCAGAGGCTTCCCAGGACATAGAGAGTGGGAGGGCCAGGAGACCAAGAGGGGAAGTGACTCCTCCTTTCTCCTCCCTGCTCGCCCTCTGCAGGCCTGCAGGTGGTCCTCAACTCCATCTTCAAGGCCATGCTTCCCCTGTTCCACATCGCCCTGCTTGTCCTCTTTATGGTCATCATCTATGCCATCATCGGGCTGGAGCTCTTCAAGGGCAAAATGCACAAGACCTGCTACTTCATTGGGACAGGTGAGCTCCCAGGGCGCTGGGGTGGGGTTGGGGTGGTGGTGGCAGTGGTGGCCGTAGTCCTAAGACAATTCAAAAGGGACAGCCACCTCAGCCGTGGAGAAGGTCATTGCTTTCCACACCTGTTGACCTGAGGAATGGTTCTCTCTTGGACAAAGTCTCCCTTGAAGGAAGCACGGGTCTGCCAGGGTCAGTGATGGAGGCACGTGGACAGGGGCCCAGGCCACAGCTTGCTCTGAATGGAGCACTCCCACCCCAAATAAATAAATGTGGTCTCTTTGGGCTTTCTGAGCCTGCTGTGGCTTGAGCTGCAGGTCAGGACAAGCCCAAATTTCCACTTGTACTTTTCTTTACAGCCGTCGTTTTAGCTTTAGTCTGAGCAGGCCCTCAGAGCCGGGACCCACAGAGCAGTGTTTGAAAGGGGATCTCAAGAAAGCACCCAGGAGCCGAAGGGTTATTTGTAGGGTTCTCAGAGATAATACGTCTTGAGGCCCAGCCGAGCCTGACCCCAGCCTTCTAAGCCAGTAGTTGTCAAACTGTTTGCCTCAGGACTCTTGGCACTCTTAAAAATTATTAAGGACCCCAAAGAGCTTTTGTTGGCATGGATTTTATTGATTGACATTTATGGCATTAGATACGAAAACTGGGAAAAAAATGTCACAATATTAATTTATTAATTCATTTTAAAAGGACACTAATAAGGCCATTATGAACATAAATAATTTATTTTATTAAAAAAGTACTGTATTTTCCCAAACCCAAAACACTTGACGCAAGAATAGTACTGTCTTACTTTTTGTCTAAATCTCTTTAATGCCTGGCTTAATAGAATCTGCTGGATACCCACAGCTACCTCTGTGCTCAGTCTGTTGTGAAATCACACGTCATGTAGTCTCTAGAAAACTCCACCCTGCGTTTGTTGAAGGATCGGGAGATGAAATAATGTCTTGGCATTATTATAAAAATAATTGTGACCGAGTGGGGGCCTGAAAGGGTGCGGGTCCCACCCTGTACTCTGAGACTGATTGCTGCCGAGATGGCAGGTATCGATCTGTCTTGGTTGGAGGGTTGATTCTACCAGGGTCGACAGGAATTGGTGATGGCATGAGGAAGAGGTGACTTCTGTTAGGAGAACCCCTCCCACCGAAAGCCCAGAACCTAACTCACCAGAGTAACCCAGGATGGCCAACACTACAATACCTGCAGTGTCTTGGGAGACGCCTTACTTCCCCAGGCCCACTGACGAGGGGACGGGCAACGCAAGGTCCAAGCCCAACCCAAAACAGTGAGCTCTCATAGAGCTTTCAGTGGCTTCACTCCTAGTCCCCTCCTAGTTAAGCCTCGTCCTGTTCCTGTAACAGTCTATGTCCTGTGATACGCGTTATCCAGACGGAGAGGAGGAGACTTTCTATCACAACCTTCAGACCAAATTTGGTGGTCTCATCCAGTGTTCTCATGCGTTCTTGACCAGTGCTGGCCAGCCGTGCTCAAAAACCTTTCTGGGATGGGCCCTCCTTGCCTTGAGGGGTCAGGGACCCACTCAGAGCCCAGAACTATTGATGTTCTCCTCTCCCTTCTCCAGAAGATGGAGGCAACATGGTAAATACGGGTAAGGTAGGGCATTCCAACTCTGATGAGCTAATTTTAATCTCTGAACACAATAGAGGACTAAAACATCCCCCGATAAGAAGGGATCCAGGATGGAATCCAAACTGAAGGATTTTAGAGATAATAAGAGCACCATCCAGGGACACAGCGGGGACTGCTGGGAATGCCTGTAGACCCGCACCCCTGAAGCGTCGTGTCTTGTGCAGCTCATCTCAGTACCATTGGGGTATCTCCACGTCATCTCCCAGAAGGAACTCTTGAGTCAGAACACGTGTGACCTCGCCCCTCACCTCCGCCCCAGCGGGATAGCTGCCTCCTGTTTTAAAGCTCTGTGGATATACCTGGCATTCACATTACACCTGCTACGTAGGTTACGTCCTCATAGGAAAGTAATCCTCGAAGCGGGCCCTCTGATGAGGCCCTGGGGCCTAAGATATGACCACTGCTGCCTGTAGACATCCACGGCTGGGCCGCCCGTCCCAAGCAGCCCTCCTCCTCCATCGCCATATGCTCCAGGGGGCGCAGTCCTTTGTGTTTTCAGCTGAGTGTGTTTTAGACCTATTGCTCAACGATTGCAAAACTACCTTCTCTCATTCCTGTCCACCTGCTCCTCTCATCTGATGCTCATGCTCATGCTGCCTTCCGCCCCCAGATATCGTGGCCACGGTAGAGAACGAGAAGCCCTCACCCTGCGCCAGGACGGGCTCGGGACGCCCGTGCACCATCAACGGCAGCGAGTGTCGGGGCGGCTGGCCGGGGCCCAACCACGGCATCACGCACTTTGACAACTTTGGCTTCTCCATGCTCACCGTGTACCAGTGCATCACCATGGAGGGGTGGACCGATGTCCTCTACTGGGTGGGTCTGGCCCTGTGCCTGCAGAACCTTCTGCCTTCATCCGCAGGCTCGTCGGGGAGGGGGAGGGGCTCGACAGTCGCTGACTCCAGTGTCCGCGGCTGCTTCTTACCCCTCCCTGGGAAACCTACACGGGGTGCATGGCCCCCTTCCTGTCCCCAGGTGTGTGTCCCGCCATCCTTTGGACAATCCCCAAGGCACAACCTGTCTGTGCAGAACCTAAGAGGTGGGAGAGGAATGGAAACCAGGAGCTCCATGGGTTCTGGTCTCAACTTCTAACTTTTCCCTAAGCCTGGCTGTGAGCGACTCATTCCTGTGACCTAGAATCTCAGATTTCTTGAGGGATAAAGGACCCTTTGAGTCTTTTTTTTTTTTTTTTTTTTTTTTTTTGCCCCAGGGCAAGACTGCTTTCCCATATAAATATTTTTAGATATGAGTTTCCTTGCCTATAAAATAAAAACACTGCCTACATCATAGGGTAGTTCTGATGGTTACTACCAGGAAGATTAACTGAATTACAACAGTAATGTGGTCAATGCTATATAAATTTTCTTGTTGGAGTATATTATTTATTTGGTGTTATCAGGAGCTAGGTTGCATTTCTTAATTAATCTTCCAACAATGGAAGGCATGGTTCCCACTTTACAGATGAGGAAACCGAGGCTCAAGGAGGTCCAGTAACTTGCCCATAGTTATGGCGCTGGTGAGCAAACTCTAATCCCTCGGGCTCTGATCCCAGGACGCGTAACCACAACATGATACTGCCTGTTGGGGAAAAGATTGTCAAACAGTCAGATGCTTTGCAAACATAAAGGATTAGTATGGGTAGTTCTCGTCAGCTCATATTTTGGGAGCGAGTTATCAAACATGTCAAAGGACTGTCACGTGTTATTTCACCTCTATTACGGGTCTGTGAGGGGCAAGCGTATATCATTATCCCCATGGACAGATGGGATAATGCTCAGAGATGTTAGGTGACTTGTCTAGGGTCACAGAGCTTGTTTATGAAGGAGCTGGCCAAGCTCACGCCGAGACTTTTTAGTGTTTCTTCTACTTTGAAAAATCTTGGCTGTAAGGAAACCAACTGGAGAGAGAGTATATGAGAGAGTTGAGCCCAGGGGTGCCTGGGTGGCTCCGATGGTTAAGCATCTGACTTCAGCTTTGGTCATGATCTCACGATTTGTGAGTTCGAGCCCTGCATTGGGCTCTGTGCTGACAGCTGGGAGCCTGAAGCCTGATTCAGATTCTGTGTCTCCCTTTCTCTCTGCTCCTCCCCTGCTCACACTGTCTCTCTCTCTCTCTTACAAAAATAAATAAACACTCAAAAACAATTAAAAAAAAAAAAGTAAATGAAAGGGTTGAGCCAGGGAGGTGAATGGCTGGGGGAAGAAATGTGTCGGACTTGTCTGGCCAAGTGGACAGCCAGCAAGGCTACTTTTGAGATGTCCTTCTAATTCTGGGTCCTAGATCTTTGGGCGAGGACAGTCCTCTCACTGGGCCCAGATGGCCTCTCTCCTTGTCCCCAGGGTCAGGTGGAGCATTGAGTCCAGAAGGGGACCTAAGCCCTCTCGGGTCAGTGAATGGGACTCGTGCTTTTGTCTGGACCAGGTCAATGATGCCATTGGGAACGAGTGGCCCTGGATCTATTTTGTCACCCTCATTCTGCTGGGATCCTTCTTCATTCTCAACCTGGTGCTGGGTGTCCTGAGCGGGTAAGGAAGTTCACAAGCAGCTGCAGGGAGAGGGAAGAAAAGGACAGGAGAAGGATGGAGGGTGGAAGGGAGAAGGGGCAGAGAGGTTGGGGGTGGGATGGGGACAGCAGGAAAAGAGCAAGAGGGAGAAAGAGAGTAGGCAGTAAAGGAGGAAGAGGTGTGGGAGGAGGAGGAGGAGGAGGAAGGGGAGAAGCAGGGCAGGGAGATGTGGATTAGAACCTCCGCTTACCCCTGGCTCCCCTTTTGCCAAGAGCACACTCCCGGGTTAGCAAAGGAGGTGTAGAAGATACAGGTAGGAGCCCCTCGATTTTTCATTTTTCTCCCTTCTCCCCAAGCCTTCTCGCATCCTTTCTTCTTCTGTCCCTCTACACCTGCACTCCCTCTGGGTGAAGCCCCCGAGATCCCAGCCTCCTGCCCCTGGATGTGCAGGAGCCGATGCTTCATGTTAGGAGTCTGTGTGGCCTTCAGTGAAGCACCCAGACTGGGGCTAGACTGTCCAAGTTTAAATCTTTACACTACTGCTTGGTGGCCGTGTGACCTTTGCCTCATCACCTAACCTCTCTGTGCCTCATCTGTCAAATGGGAATAATCCCATAGGGGTGCTGGGAGCATTAAATGAGTTAATACGTAGAAAGTCCTTAGAACAGAGTCCAGCACATAATGAGCACTAACTACTAATGGTCATTATTAATGAGAGCTGTTCTCTCTGCGACGGCTCCGAGGCAGCCACAGTGGAGAATCTAGAAGTGACCATCAGCCCCCTTCCCCATGGCCATCACCCCACCCCAGAAGCTTCCCTCCAAGCATTCTGTAGAAAGAACTCAGGGGGTCTGTGAACTTGAATGAGAAAAACTTGTCTTTCTTTTCTGCTAGCTCGGATTGAAATCTAGCGTCTCCTTTCACTAGGCATGGAGACAGTGCGCCATGGTGGTATTTAGCGCTCCCTGTGACTTGTCCCAATAGAACCCACACAACACGCATTACTACTTTGAAACTATGAGAGTTGTTAGATCTACAACTTGGCTTTGCTAGGGAATGAGCTAACAAAGAAGCATATGCGTACTTATCACAATTTTTTATATGTCCATAACTATATTGCGATACAATCGACTCCTTTGTAATGAGATGGTTTTATTTTGTGCATTTTGCAACATTATCCTGAGGAGGTAGCCTCAGTTTTCCTGGAACTACCAAAGGATCCACAGCAGGAAAGGGTCAGAGCCCCCCTGCCCGGGCCCTGTCCCTGGGGATGGTGCTGAGGGCTGAGGCGCTGATGTGACAAGCCAATGACTGTGCCTGCGTCTCCCTCTCTCCTCCCTCTCTCTCCACCCTGCTCAGTGGGTTGTCTCTGCTGGTCTGAAGATCCTTTGCTGACCCTCCGGTCCTTTCCTTCCAGTGTGGCCACCTGGTTTCTTCTAGACTCAGGGGAATTTCCTCCAGACCTTAGGTCTGTAAGCAGAACTAAATTCCTAAGGTAGCTTCAAGGGTCAGGGAAGCCTGGAAAATTTGAGGATCCGTGGCTGATTCTGTTAGGGAAATGGTCATGTCATTAACCCCTAGTGTCCAAGGCGACCCCAAGACGAGGGAGGATAAAATGCCAGACGAGATGAGAAGAAGGCAATGAGAAAGGCAGGCTGGGCGCTCCAAGGTGCTCCTGAGGGTGTGGATGGCGAGGGGGCACGAGAGGAGCTGCCCCTCTGTCACCTGGAAGGGCACCTGGACCCTAGGCGACACCCTGGGCCCGAAGGCAGGGGCGCATCCAGCCACAGAACATGCTCTCTCTGTCCTTGGGAAGCCCAATCCTTCTCCACACCCTCTCTTTTTTCTCCGCCCTTCCCCATCTCTCTGTTCCTTCAGGGAATTCACTAAGGAGCGGGAGAAGGCCAAGTCCAGGGGAACCTTCCAAAAGCTCCGGGAGAAGCAGCAGCTGGAAGAGGACCTCCGGGGCTACATGAGCTGGATCACGCAGGGCGAGGTCATGGACGTTGAGGACTTGAGAGAAGGTTCGGGCCCAAAGGCATAGTCAGCATGCCCTCCCCACCCCTGAGCGGCCCCTCGCGGTCGGCTCCCAGAGACGGCACTGCGTCACGTCGCCCTTCTGGCAGGTAGACTGTTGCCATTTTGCAGGTGAGAAAACTCAGGCCCTTAGAGGGTGAGTGACCCACCTTAAGCCTTACGGCTCGAAAGGATGGCATCCGGGTGTGCCCGGGGCTCCTCCTGAAGTACAGAGTGCCATGCTGCCTGCCCACAGCCGCCCCTCCCCTGCAAGTGTGGGCTCTTCCTCGGGCGGCTCGGGAAAACACAGAGCCATCCAGGCCCACTAGGTGCCTCCAGACAATGGCCCCTTTTCCAGGTGTGCCCGGCCTAGGTGTGTCCAGCCCGGAGGGGCCCCAAAGACTGGCCCACCTTTTCTCTCTCGTTCCCAGGGAAGCTGTCTCTGGATGAAGGAGGCTCCGACACAGAGAGCCTGTATGAAATCGAGGGCTTGAACAAAATCATCCAGTTTGTGTAAGTATCTGCCCTTCTCCCCGGGGTCTTCCCAGACTCAGAACTCCCCGAGACATGGAGTTAGAACCCATGTGCTGTTCCCCATGTACTGTTAGAACCCACTTACTAGCTTTAGAGTCACATGCCCCATCCCTCAGCGCCATAAGAGGGCACTCAGCAGATCACCTGCTTATACAGCACACAGGGAAGGGGCTGGGAGCCTGCCAGGAGGCAAGGAGAGGATTTGGCTGCTGCCCTCTGATGAGAGTGGAGTCGGTGGGCTAATTAGTCCCGGAAACCTCTGCTCGGGAAGAGGGAAGGTGTGCGTTGCAAAGAGGTGGCATGGAGAGCTTTGCAGGCAGGAGGCTGGCCGGCCAGGGATCTGGAGACAGGGGGACACTCCAGGCTCAAGTGCCTTTGTCTCAAGAGGAAGATGTATTTGTTTGGTTGGCTGCTTCCTTTTACAAATCCATACATAACCGTGATTTTGAAAGCCCAGTGGTAGAGAAATACATCAAAGAAAAGATGAAGGTCCCACTGCCCTGCAAAGAGGTAACCATGGTAACAGATGGCTATCCCTCCAAGACCTTTGCTATGCTTTTATCTCTCTTACACACACACACACACACACACACACACACACACACGCCAGGTTTTTTGTTTTGCTTGCCTTTTTACATGACAGGGGTCTTTGCATTAACTACTGTCCCAACAGAACCCAGAACAGTGCCCAACATAGACTACGTACTGCCAAATATTTGATAAATAAATGAATATGATACACATAGCATCTATGAACACTTTTAACTTAAAATCGTCTATTTAGGGCAGCTTCATACATACACACCCATCTTGGTGTTTTTAAGACTTTAATTTTTTTAAGGTTCACGGCAAATTGAGCAGAAGGCACAGAGTTGTCTCATATTCCCCCGCCACCACACGGGCCCAGCTCACTCATCACCAGCCCCCACCAGAATGGGACAGTTGTTACACCTGATGCACCTGGTTTACTCTAGGGCTCACTCTTGGTGCCGTGCCTTCATCCCGTGGGCTTGGGCAAATATGAAATGACAGGGACCCATCCATCATTATAAAATCATACACGGTATCTTCACTGCCCTAAAAGTCCTCTGTACTCATCGTTCCCTCACCGACCCCCCCCCCCCCCCCCCAGCCACTAACCACTGATCTTTTTACTGTCTCCATAGCTCTGCCTTTTCCAGAACGTCACATAGTTAGAATCGTACAGTACGTAGGACTTTCAGACTGGCTTCTTTCACTTAGCGATGGGCAATTAAGTTTCCTCTGTGTCTTTGTGGCTTGATGGTCCACACACCTTCATTTGGTATGTCTTTGGATGTGAAGTATTTCACAGTATGAATATACCCTAAGATATTTAACCTTTGCAATTTTTGACAACACAAACGCGCCACAGGAACAGTTGTCCCTCAGTATGAACATTTCTGCTGGGCCGATTCCTAGAAACGGAATTGCTGGGTCGAAGAGTATGTAGATTTGAAAAGTTTGGTCCGCGCTGCCAAATGGTTCTCCGAAGCGGTTGCCGTGGCTGTGACAGTGCCCTTTCCACACCCTCACCAACACCAGATATGATTCATCTGTTACAGAATTTGCTTTTATAATGAGCAAAGTGAGGCCTCCCAGTGTGCTCTAGCTGAAATTAACGTATGTGGAGCCCCTATAGGATACTGGGCACAGTGCCAACTAAGCATTGTACTCGCATAATCTCTAATCCCCTCTGAGGCTGGCATCGTTATTATTCTCCTTTGAAAAGAGGAAGAGCTTCGCTAGTAAGAGGCAAGATTTTAAATCAGTCTGCCTCTGCAGTTCTTGCCCTGAGCGTCTCCCGTGTGGCCAGAGAGTGGGTGATCAGGCTAAGTACGGCTGCGGTCTGGCCCAAAGCAACCGCAGGAAGGAGGGAGCTTGGAGTCAAGCAGCTCTTTGACTCCGTCCTCCTCTTTCTCCCCTCTCAGCCGCCACTGGAGGCAGTGGAACCGCATCTTTCGCTGGAAGTGCCACGATGTGATCAAGTCCAGAGTCTTCTATTGGCTGGTGATCCTGGTCGTTGCCCTCAACACCCTGTCTATCGCCTCAGAGCACCACAACCAGCCTCTCTGGTTGACCCATTTGCAAGGTGAGACAGAACAGAGTGAAGCCAGGAAGGGGACAGATGTGGCCGATGGCCAAAGCCAGCCGGTAGCACCTCAGGTTTTGCAGAAGACGTCAAGCAGATATTGACATTGTTTTCTGGAAATTATAGGCTGGTAGTATTTTTCCTCCTGGCATTACCGGGGGCAGTAACAGCAGCTCACTGGAAAGCCTCCAACCGCGCACCCAGGTGTCTGGTTAAATTATTACAATTTCGGACACCGAACATGAGGATTACCGGCAATCTGAAACTGCAAACATCCGGGTTCGAATTCTACTCCCCAAACAGCAATCTTTCACCAACTATTTATTGCGTGCATACTACATAGGTAAGGCACAGAGAAAGAACCCAGGATGCAGAGAGAATCAATATGCTGTTCTTGCCTTCCAGGAAACTTACTTGGCCAGAGGAGAAGACAGATGCTAATGAGTAATGCCAAGTCCATATAGGGAAGGCAACAGTAGAAGCAACTGTAAGATAGCAAGAGAAGGATTACAGGGGGGGAGATGCTCGGGCATCTCCCACAGGATGTAGGGATCCTAAGCTAAGAGTGCAAGAATTAAAATCTGGGCGTCACTGGCAGGGATGGCAATAGAAGCTATGGCCTTAGAAGACATCACCAGGTCACCAGAGGATGGTATATACTAAATGTAGAGCTCAAGGTCAGCATTCAGTGATTAGGCAAAGAATTGCATCTGCAGAGGAGGCTTGGGAGAAGCAGGCGAAGTAGAAGAAATCCAGAAGGATATGGTGTCACAGAAGCTAAGGAAAGAGAATATTTGAAAAAAAGCCAGGCTGGTCAACCGTGCCCCGGGCTTCCAGGAGCTCAGGAAAATTGCAGGTTAAACCACCCATTGGATTTGGTGACCTGAAAGTCGTGTCCCTGAGAGAGTTTGTTGGTGGAGCGACCAGGTGGACCCAGTTAGGTAGGAGTTAAAGGGTAAACGGGGCAGGGCAGGGTGTGAAGAGGTGAAGAGATCCAAGAAGATAACCTTTTGCTGTGTGTGGCCGTGATAGGGAGGAGAGAGCCAGAGCAGGAGCTGCTTGGGGGGGGTGGAAATGGGAGAGACTTCTGCGTTTTTTAAAACGGGGATGGGAGAATCCACTTGAAAGGAGAAGTGAAGCACACGGGAGAGAAAAGAGATGGTTGACGGTGGGTTTCGCCAGGTGGGGGTCAGGGGGCAAAGCCTAGGTGGACGGGCCGGCTCTGGCAAGGTGGGGGGACCCCTCCTCCCGCAGGAGAAGGGATGTGTACGGTAAGCAGAGTGGGGCAGAGCCCCATTAACTTGAGTGAAATCAAAAGCAACAGGATTCGGTTTTGTGAAAACACGGACCGGTTGTGCTTCTCGGGCGTCTGCCTCGGCGTTCCTCCGATGGGCAAACATTCCCCGGGTTCTCCTGGGCTGGGGGGTTGGGGAGCAGAACAGGGACGGTGCTTTGGAAGCGCGGAGGAGGGTCCTGGTGGGGTAGGCGAAGTCCCTGAAGGCAACGGCGGGCAAGAGGGCTGGAGGGTTCTGATACCCCCCAATCGGACGTTGCAACGGCAGCTGTTGGTTCTTTACGCTCGTCATGAAGATGTGCGGGCTGGGCCTGCGCCAGTACTTCATGTCCATCTTCAACCGCTACGCTTCTCTGCAGTCAGCGGGAACGCGAGCTGCTTGCTGTAAGAGCAGGTGCCATGACGCTCCTGGCATTCGTATGCGGACATCCCGTCACTAGTGGACTTCAAGATCACCAAGTGAGCGCGGGGCTATGGGGCACTGGGACGGGCATCGGGGGCGCCGCTCGTCTCTACCGGTGACCGTCTGCCTTCAGGTACTGGACGTCGCTGAGCAACCTGGTGGCATCCCTGCTCAACTCCATCCGCTCCATCGCCTCCCTGCTGCTGCTGCTTTTCCTCTTCATCGTCATCTTCGCCCTGCTGGGCATGCAGCTCTTCGGGGGCAGGTACGACTTCGAGGACACGGAGGTGCGGCGCAGCAACTTTGACAACTTCCCGCAGGCCCTCATCAGCGTCTTCCAGGTAGGCCGTGCCGCAGGTGCTGAATCCCACTTCTTGTCCTTGGGGATCGGCGTGGGCATCACCTCCTCCAGGAAGCCTTCTGCGATCTGCTGGTTTGAGTTCAAGGTCCCTCTGCGGGCCCCCTCACCCCCTGTGGGCCCCCTCACCCCCTGTCTTCTCTCTGCTGTGAGCCTCCCTCACCCTCCCGAGGCTAGGAGCTGTGCCCAGCTTGTCCTATTTGTCTGTGTCCCCCGTGCCAAGCGGAGCGCTGGCCCATCGTAGGATCACCGATACCAAACGAATGGAGTCCCAGGGTCTGCTTTCTCTCTCACGCGCTGCCCACATCACTCCCCTGTGTCGGAGCCAGCACTCATGAGGAACATCACCTCGTTGGTACCAGTGGGGAGGTCGGCGTATCGCAATCAGTTGCTCTTAAAGATGACGTCACCCTCTCTTTCTTCCATTCACCCGAGGGCTGGTCCGGTATCATGCCTTAGAAGACACTTGACATTTCACACTGTTTCGGGAGGCTGGAATGCCAGGAGGCATGGGTGGGTGTAGTACAGGTAGGCCTGGGCAGTAGGGACAGAGCACAGGGATGTGGCGACCCCACGGCCAAACTCCTTGGCCCACTTTTGACCTCTGGGAGAGAGGCCAGAAGAGCAGGGACCTTTCGTCCTGGCCGTGAATGAAGAGAGGAAAGGTTTAGGGGAACGGACAGAGTTGGAGGGGGCCTTTTGGGCAATGTGGTCCCGACAGAAGACTCTCAAGTCCCATCCGCGTCCCTCTACCCCAGTGCTCCCTGTCCCTCTAGGTCCTAACAGGTGAAGACTGGAATTCTGTGATGTACAACGGGATCATGGCCTACGGCGGGCCGTCCTACCCTGGGGTGCTCGTGTGCATTTATTTCATCATCCTTTTTGTCTGTGGCAATTGTATCCCCTTGGGAGCAGGGCACAGAAAAGAGCGGAGGGAGGGGGTTGGGACGGGCGGGGGCTTACAATGCGGGTCAAGGCTACCCACTTGCCAGGCACCGGGCCCTCTGGCTGGAGGGGAGCTCCCAGGCTCATGGAGGGGGCAGGGGGATGGGATGTAGCATATGGCAAGTGCAGGTCGAGCTGTAGGATAATTCCTTCCACCAGGAAAGGGGAAGGACCACAGAGGTGACTGGTTACAGGTGGGAGGATTTCATCCCAGAGAGGCTGGTGAGCCTGGAACAAGGCAGGAGCAAGAACAGGTCTGGTGGAGGGGCCGTGACGTTGGTGGGCAGCCTCCTCCACAGGTTCGGAGGCAGGCAGGGAGGAACCAGGGAGCGGGCAGACCGAGAACGAGATGGGCAGTGGGGAGGGCGAGGTGGACGGGGCAGACAGAGCCGGCAGTGCCCGGGGTTCTGGTGCTGGCACCGTGGAATTTGATATTATGAGTAGCGGGGAGGGAGGGAACCAGTGGTCCTTGAGCTTATGTGCACTGAGCACACGACTCTCAGTTACAGCTCCTCACGGGTGCCCCACAAAGCCCCCCGAGAGAGCTGGGATCAGTCCTGGGCAGGAAATGGACGGTACTCAAGGCCCATCATGGGCACCCTCTGCAGTCAGGCTCCCCTGAGGATGCTTGTCTGTGCCCTTGGGCCCATGCCATCCCATGGGGTTACTGGCAAGAAGAACTCCAACACCCCACCAAGGAAGCAGGGTTGTCGTGCCAACCCACGGTCAGGGTGAGACTCCGGCCCCCCAGGTTTCCCTTTCATCCACAAGCCAAGACTCCTTAGCTGGACACCCTCAGATATCCTGCTCAATGTCTTCCTGGCCATCGCTGTGGACAACCTGGCTGAGGCAGAGAGCCTGACTTCTGCCCAGAAGGCCAAAGCTGAGGAGAAAAAACGCAGGAAGATGTCCAAGTGAGTGCTGCGTCCTCAGAAGGGAGGGACCTGGCATGCCTGATGGTGACCTCCTAGCTCTGGGCAGGTGGCTCCTTGGAGCCCGATGAGCAGAGGCTGTGCCACAGTGACACCTGCCCCAGTGGGCAGGCTTCTGCAACCAGCGTGCATAGGGATGGCTGAAGTCCTATGAGGTGTCCCTGGGCGCAGAATTGGAGGCAGTTGGTCTCTAGACAGGCCTCAGGAAATGTGATGGCAGAGCCAGGCAGGTGGGACCAGGGAACCCTGGTGGAGAGTTCTAGAAATTCAACCAGTCCTGCCACGGAGTCCCTGCACTTCTTGAAGGGAGACATTTCCCCTTGCTGCCCCCTGGCCTTGTTGTATGTGAAGTGGTGGTTGGCTTCTCAGGTCTTTTACACCTTTCTCCATCTGCTGGTTGGAGAACCATACTTAATGGTTCTAGACAAAAGTCCTGCTTCCTCCAGTGCCCATGCCTTCGGGAATGGTATGCATATTCTGGGGAGAGGCAGGATAGGAAGAGAAAGAGAGCAATGTAATCCAGACACTTCCAAAGAGTTGAGCCCCGTCTTGAACCAAATCATGCTCCCACACTGTGAATTCTTTATGAACTAGGCACAAAACCATTTTTCAGCCATTTACCCTTCAATGAACATTGAGCGTAGCTGACCAGCGAGCCGTATGTAGTCATGGCCCCAAGCTGGGCATCATGCCCTTTCATCACAGGGAAAGGGTTTGCCCAGGGCTATAGTCCCTCCCATTTGGCAGTCTACACTGCTCCATCCTCCACAGAGTCCCCTGAGTCCTTGGTGTGGGATCCCCTTGAGGATGCCATTAGACTAAGCAGATCCCTGAGAACTTTCTAGTTGGGCTTCCACTGTGGGATTTCTTTCTTTCTTTCTTTCTTTCTTTCTTTCTTTCT